ACTGTTAAGAAACTTATTTGCATATTTTTTTCACGCCCGTCACTGTATGCGCAGTCTCCACCAATTATAGTWGTTTAATAGTGTTTGTTATAGGAGTTTCTACAAACCTGACCCAACTGGTACAAGTTCTGATGTTACAAGCTTAATTTCATAAGAATGATTCATATCAACTGTTTTATCTCCTTTAGGTGGCTTTGAATTATGATTAGAAATANAGGTAAACTATTGCAATCACTAGTCTACAAAGTGCTTAGTATGGACGATTATAGCTATTATCCACAATCTTCGGATTCTTCAGAAAGCGACCATTTATCTGACATATCAGAAGATGAAATTGTTGAAGGTATAATGCCTTATTGTGACGAACCTTTGGCTGAAGACGATAGAGAAGATGGCCGACCAGATACTGACGACGAAGTCGACATCGATGGATTGAAACCTTCCGATCTAGAGTCAAAATTTGAAAACATTGTGAAAGTTGATGAATGATTTAACTATTATATTTCTTTTAAAATAAGACTTCATTCTAACTGATAGTGGCATCTAACTTATGCTTTTTTGCTCGTTTTGTATTTAGGTGTCGATGTCAACAATGTCGAAAGGAACGCTTTTCTGACGCTCTAGAATTTAGATGCTGCCACGAAGTAACCAATGCAGTAGGAAAGCTGGTCTTTGACGGCTCGATTGAAAGAATAAAGTGCATAACACAGCATGAAGATTTCAATTCATTAATAAACAAGACAGTCTTGTTGCAAGTAGCCCCGTTGCTACGTAACCAAGATGGCCGATCTTATAAACGACTCGCCGGAGTAACAGAGAATGAGTACGTTCTTCTACAGTTATTTTGATGTCCGTCTGAGGTCTGTAAACCTCTAAAAAATGAAGCGACTAATTTTTCCTCTTGAAATCGCCTTCGATTTGTAGATTAAAACATGTCTTCTCGAAGTGAGCCGAGCAAAGCCAGGTATTTTTTCCAGGATCGTTGTAGTCGACTCGATGACGCTTCACAAAGAGGATCCATTTAGCTCTAATAGTCGGGTCAGTAGGAAAGCGATGCATAGTGATGCCCTCAGTGTAAAAATCATTTCCACAGCTGGTCTTATTTGGTGCACCAGCCACACAACGCCGACCTACTTTCCTTCTATCCGCCGTGTTTGTTGTAAGTACTCTCAGGACGTGTATACACTTTTACGTCACAAACATGATCACGTGACCATTTGGCCGCGCGATGGTGGGGACACTTTTTTTAKCAAATTTGCCATCTTTAGGCCGAAAAAAATATGGTTTATAGTCCAAACATGACAGTTTGACTTATCAAACTTTGATACATATATATTGAACTACTAGAAACAGGAAAAAAAGTTTACCATGTCATATGCTCTTTAAGATAATAATTGTTTTTGAATTGCAAAAACTATCTTCCTGATCAACAAAAGTCAATCACAAACTTATGGCACAAGCAAATATAACATTATTTCTAAAAAACATGTGTTTCAATCAAAAATAATAATCTATGTCCACTTGGGCAACAGTATTTTTTATTATATGTATGTTAAATACTTTATGTATTTCTTTTGCAGAATGAGCAGCACTTGTATCCATGTCACAGCCTTGATGTTTAGAATTGAGGCTGCCAACCGCAATGGCCTCACAAATCCTGCATGCACATCTAAGGATTGTGTTTGGAGTGTACCCAATGCCAAAACTGTCATAAAACCCTCCAGAATATGTGAAATGGATTGGAAAGCACCAAAGMTAAACAAAGGTATATTTTTTTTATTACATTGTGATCTCGTTACACTCATAAGCTAGGCAAAAACAAGGGCACAAAACAAATCCACAGACACACACATCAAGACAGTGTATGAGTCATGGAAATGTACATGTATCAATAGTTTTTTCCTTATATCCCTTATTATTTCAACACATTTCACTTTAAGTGTCTTAACAGTAAAATGTAAATAAAATAGAACCTGCTAAAAATACAAACTAGATGTTAAMAACATTGCTATCATTATATTTTCAAAGAAGCAGCCAGACCCTCAGTTGACAGTCGTCGAATATTGTTTGCTTCTCACAGTGAAGTAAAAACTGAAACTTCAAAAGAAAAGAGACAAAAATTTTACCATGGGCTCAAATATCTGCTACCTGAATCAAATCTTACCAAGTTGGGAAAAGCAGAATTTGAAATCTCTCATCCAGTGCCTGATTTGTCAAAGAAACACTTCAGTGTTCAGGATATTCACGACATTGAAAAAGGAACAATCGGTCAGTCTGACAATCCCACATGGTATGCTTTCCGAAAGGGAAGGATCACTGCATCGAATTTCTACAAAGTGTACACAAAGGTTAAAGGGCAACCTCCATGGCCTTGACCAATTTTCAAAATTAGTCCGTTTGAATAGTATATGGTGTGAATAAACTAGTTCTGAAATTAAATTTGTTGTTTTCCAATCCGTAAATGCTTTATTTTCCCTTCAAAGTTGGATATTTTGTTCGAATTTTTGCCGCTCAATCAAAACATGT